TTCTCAGGTATCTATCGTTTCTGCCCCTAAAATTCGAAAAAGTGCCAACATTCTTTACTTGCATAAATACAGTGTGTCGAACGAAGACAGAAACCAAAACATCCCAGATTTCATAATTGGTACAGCTTTACAATACCATGCCAAAATTAAAAGAATTGTATTGTACACAACTTTCTCTGCAGCTGTGAAATACACTGATCTTTAAAATATTTTTTGAAAAAATTGACGGTAATGATTGCGCAAGTTTTTCTTATACTTTTTGGATACTGTGAAAAAAGACTGAAATAACAAAAGAACCAGCTTTATTTAATCTGAGTATACAAGAAAATTCAGCAACTGTTAATTTATTTTATTATTCTAAGATTTTTTGCGTATTTTAATTCACTCCATTATTTTGGAATTAACGAGTATAAAAAATTTTGAAACATGACGTCACAGGAACTACTGTTAAGTATGAATTTGTAAAGTGATGCAGGCCTAGTCAACCCTAAATAACTCATCTGTTGTTTTATTTTGAGTAAGTCGACTTTCCGAGAGTAAGTTAGGGGGAGAAAATACTGTAAAAAAGTCCATCTGGCGATTGACTACTTTCATGTTTTCTCGCCGTTTCATGCCTCTAGACTAGAGTATGAATATGTCGTCTTTGGCGATTTTTATTAGACCAATAATAATCTCCGAAGTTACCGAACCGATTCTTGTCAAATTTTATATGCTTTTAGGAATATTATAGATGGTAAAACACTAACCAAAATTTGTATAATGATCCCCAGCACCGATTTGATGACTTTATCTCAATATTTTGCTTGGTATGGAAGTTGCATCTAACAAATAATGCGGGCTCACCGGTTCGATCTTCTCATGGGCCATTTTTTTTTTGAGGTGAGGGAAGTTCTGTCTAAATAACCTTGCAGCAGTTTTTTAATTTTAGAGGTACACATTGTATAGTCAAATTTGATCTTGTATTGTACCCTATTAATGATATTCAGACTAATAATGCTTGTACAGTCCCCCTGGTAAAAATCCTCGTCAAATGACAAGCACCAAAAATATTTTCAGACAACGACAACATACTTTGTATAATAATAATAAATTTATATTAATTTGCCTACATTGTTGAAACTTATTTGGATTTTTTTTTGCAAAATTCATTAAACTTGGGTTTACTGGCGCCCAACACTTTATTTACATGCACGTATCTCTGGTTTTTGTATTTGGCCTCGTTGTGGCTATAATTTTCAGCGTGAGTGAATCTGTTGTAGCATTTCACACACTGAATACATACCTGCCGCCGGATTTACTGTGTAATTAAAATGTGATAACTCGGTTTCACTTGATTCACATTTACCTCCGACCTAAATAAATTAACATCTGTACACCTTTCTTCCATAATTTATCCCAATTATGAGTTATGTTCTGCATATTTGCGTTCTTTCGTGCGCAAACAAAATGTTATTAATTAGAAATTTCAGCGGGAACGACTTGGCTTTGTGTAAATTTAATTAGAACTTAGTAGCAACTGTAAATTGTTTGGCTACATTTTTTCAGGGCAATCCGTGTTAATCTACATGTTTGTTTTGAGAGCTCTTCCACTTATTGCATAATGTTTAATTAAGTCTATTAGTTGTGCGCTTAACTCACTACTTCTTAATTGGTATTCCATTTAAGTTCACAGAATTAGAAGCAGCTCTCTAATGTTATTTCAGCACTCTGGGATTTGAAAACCAACAAGGTGACTGCAGCTTCCTTACATTATTATCACTCTAAAACAAGAAAACGTTATTTTCGTTTTTTGCTGGCACGTATTCTTTCCATTATCTTTTATAAAAGAAAATCAATTGCTGGTAATCTCTCATTTTGACGTTATCCGCTAACACATATCCCGACTTAGACCTCTGATAAATGCCGCAATCAGACTCTCCTATATATTTGCAGGGATTATAACACAGCTCTTTAACCGCCGTAATTGCGGGCGTCAATTTTCAAAATCAAACAACAAGTAACCGTGTTATTATTTCCTTTGTTGTTTTTTTATAATCGCCAAAAGGAAATTTAACATTCCAGGGAATTTAGTGTTAATCCGCAGATATGATAATGAGGAATTTTTTCGTTCTGAATATTAATTCGATATTCAAAAACCTACCCTGTTAAATTAAAAGTAAACTTTAGATGGAATATTAACTTCTTGCTGAGCAACTCTCCTTATCTCGCCATGGATTTTCTTGCGAAATCTACATAATTTCTTAGCAAGGTTTCACACTGTAATGGATTTTTAGATCATAGATTGCGAAATGCGATCGTCTAAAGCGTGTATTTGCAATTCTTTATTTCAAGATCCATTAAAGTTTACCCTGAATTTGCATGAAAAAACACCGCTCGGTGTCACTAGTAACGTAAACTTAAGTAACTGGGACAAAGTCTCCTTCATTACTCATCGTTATGTTCATCAAGCGAAAAATGCAAAGAGGCAACTCAGAAATTAGTTGGCTCGACAACCCCGTTTATTTTAATTTTCAGCAAGTGGAAGTTTCGCGAAACTGTAACCCATTTCTCGTGTGAATACACTATGACAGGTGATTGATTTATTACCATTTTAGTAACTACTTCTACTACTGTTGAGAAATGAGAAATTGTATCTAGACATTCTCCCATTTCCCCAACGTTAAACGATATCCTACCTTCGTTTTATTAAACTTGTCGAGAATTTTCAGTTGGCTACATGCAATTGCAAATTTACCGTTCCTGAAGCCGAATAAGTACTCAAGACGACTTCTCTTCATAATATTATGCATTTTATATTATTCCCAGAACGTTCGAATGCATTTCCGTGCCTCGAAGTTTTCTCTATAAACATGCAAAAAATAACAGTGTGCCGTTGCCTTTGGAACTCGTTAAAAATGTATTACAGTCAGTTCAGTGTTCAATTCATTTCCTGTGTCATCAATTTCAGTTCCGGTAGTCGTGATATTTAATCTCGCACGCTCTGTGCTGCGGTGACAAAGAAAAATCGTCTGTTCTTTTGACCGTATAAAAATTAGAATTTTTAGTCACAATTTATATGTGTCGGATTGGGTTAGCTTGTCACCGACACCACCAAATGAACTGTTTGACAGGAACGAAAGACACAATTTTATCACGCTTCATCACACGTTTTCCGTTTTGTGGTCTCTTTGTGTCCATTATTCTAATTTAAGTAGCGCACAAAAATAGAAATGAATCTAATTCACTTACGATTTATTTTTTTAACCAACTTTTTCGTAAACACAAATTTAACGTCGTGATGTTATCACAGACAAACTGGTTGAAAGTGTCTCTTAGAAGCGGAGAAAATTAAGTTAGATAGCACAATTCCTGTGGATATTGTCATATTTTGGTTGAAGGTTGCAAAAAAGTCATACCTTAAGTGTACTTGGTTTATGTCTAGTCCCGAGAAACTTCGTTCATTTCTGATACAACAAACAAATGCTGTGACTGACACATTATTACGTGTGGAATCAATGACACAGTTTTTGAAGCTTTTTCCGGGTTTAACCCCTCCCCTTCATGATTCGAAAACAGTTTTTCTGCAGAGGGCGCGTTTTACAAAAAAACTTCTCGGTGCCGGGCAACGATTTACTGTCAAAACCTTCAAAAATTCCTAATTTAAATTCAGTTGTTATAATTTCTGGAAAAACCTATGCAATTCAGCAGATGTTGCATTTTTCAAATGTAATATTTGATTGATGGATGAATCTCTCGTTGCTTATGCAATGCATATGCAGAACTTAGTTAAAAATTAAAATATTTCAAAATAATTCGATGCAGTGATGGTATTCTTCGCTGGTGCCTTTTTCATAGATAACACTTTTATCATGCTGTTTGTAATGTAGTCGTGACGTAAGGATTTTTTTATGATCTTCTCGACACATGTGAACTTGATAATGGACGGTTGAGTTCGTGCCCTATTTGTGAATCACCCTGTATAATGCAATGGCATTTTTTTTTTTAGTTTTGTTGAAATTTTTAAATCACCTGTTTTTAAAAATCAATGTCCTCAATTATTTATGGAAATTTTGGAATGCCATTTCCACCACTGTTTTCACCTTAAAAAACTCTACACAGTGTCAGATACATTATCGATTTTATTGTTGGAAGTTGGGATACCGTCAAAATAAATTTTTACCGTAGAAGCTCATTTGTAACAAAAAAAAACTCGACTGTGTATCTAATAACGAGTGTTGAAATAAAAACGAAGTCAAGTTATATTTAAAATTTCACAGCAATGAGCCTGTTAATAATGGAGATATTATTCCATTTTGAAAAGCCCATACGGGATTGGCCTTACGGTTATAGAAAGTATGGTAAGTCGTAATAAAAAATGGATCCATTTACTTTATCTAGTTAACTTTCATTAATGACTGGAAAATTATTAAAATTTGACTAAACAAAGTAATAAAATATAGAGAGAAGAGTGGGAACTTTTTTAATTATTCTTCTAGACCCAGAATCTAAAAACCCGAAAACGCAAATGTTAAATACTGATACTGAATTCGTTTTTTCACAGCAATACATGTTTATATCAAGAGGAAATTGGCATTTAAATGCGATAATAATAAATTGGAATATATGGCGATCTAGTAAAAAAATCCTTATAATTTTCCAGTGATAAGCCACATTATTCAGTGTTCACTGCCCACCATCTTCCCAAATCTCAAATAGACCCTTGCGTTAAGGATCATCGGATAAAATTTTGAACATAATTTCTCATAACGTCCAACAAAGTGCACATTTCTCTTTATTTATCATCATCTTCCACGACGAATCTATGACGTATAAAGTCCATCATAGCGCCGCCAAAGCCAAATGGCTTGCAAAGAAATGTCCCGTCCAATCTGTAGTTTTTCCAGCAGAATGTTTTACGAACGCTTTATCACATCGTAAAATAATCGTGAATAGTCATTTTGCGGCAGCACCACCTCCCCGATGTAGTCGTAAATGTAAACATTTTGTTTTCCGTTTTCCAGGTCGACACCCCCGACAGCGTCTTGCAAAGCGGTCTGGGTCTAACCGACCTGGGGCAGCACGCCGTCCTGCGCTCCATGGTGGACCCCCGCGACTACGACCGCCTGCGCCACCTCCAGATGAACGGCGGCGCCCCCAATACCTTCGAAGAGACAATCTACAAGGTTAGTACTTTTGTGATCACAACTGTCGTTTTTTTTTTGTATTTTTCATATTTTATAAAGAAAGGCAAACAAGTTACAGGTGTTGTTAACGGTTTACTTTTAATAAAGTTATAGTCTCATAGTTTTTAGTATAGTGTGCCAAGGAATATAGTGGTTTCATGATTTTGACTTTTCCAAGTCCCTAGTTTGTGAATAAAGAGCATCATAAACTACCGCATGAGATAAGCTGATCCTGGGGGATCGTAGTATAAATTTGCATCTAATAAGCTGCATTATTCATTGACAAGAGTAATGAAGGAGTCATGATCGTAAAACCACTATATTCCTTGGCACATTATACACCCACGACTTTGAATTTGGATATAGCGATAAGAAGGTTCATACCCCATGTGGGTTGTCGTATATTTTATGAGCAAACATTTGTACGAATTTGTTCTAACATACATAGTTGAAACTTTCAATTTACTAACTACCAGGACGATTATGTCAAGCTTTTTTTAATTAAAAAAAAACTTGATCACAAAAGTATAAATTTATGATCATATCTTTCTAAGCGTTGTTAAGTGCAGCACTTTGCCGAAAGTTTTTAAATATTATTTCTTGATGATGAAGCTTTCGAGTTTTCAAATTAGAATACATATTCCATTAGACGTACGGATAACACATGTAAGGCTATTGCAGCTTGTTATTCAAGCAAATAGTTACAGATCATTAGCATTATGCTAACTTCGCACAAAGTACTTCACAAGCAAATCATTCATAAGTAAAGAAAACAACAAGAGACCAAGCTTTCCCCCTGTTTCACTCCAAAAAATGCAGCGGATAGTCCCGTCATCTCCGCGTTTTATGTTTGATTTTTAGAAACCAAGTCAACACTTCCCTAGTTTTCCGTGGTTCTAACTATGCTGTACACCCCTTTGGCCGTGACCCCCTTGGCCCATCAACAATGATCCGCACTTATTTACAGTTCGTCTTCCTTCAGATGGTCACTTAAAATTCCCCGGACGGTCGTATTCTATCACTGCTCGCCATAAACTTTATCTATTCTGTGCGCAAGCACGCGATGTTTGGTTTTCCAGCTTGCTTTTTCCCATGTGTAAACCTCCGGGGATAACATTGGCCCTTATATCAAAATGTCACTGCAATCCGAGGTCCAGTTTTTACGGCTGAAAAGTTTCCGATGGTCACGATGTGATGGGATTTTCACGTTTTATTGCTGTCTTTACGACTTCGCCGGGTGGACAGGGCACCTATGCATCACCTCGAACATTTTGCATTGCTCTATCTGTCTTGCATGCCCGATAAATAAAACCGTGTTAAATCATCCGAGCGATTTCCATTTGTTACGGTGATTGCAAATGAATAAGGGCTTTTGAAATTATTACACTCTATTACTCTATTGTTAGAACTAATTACTGAAATAAATCTAATGGACTATTTAATGCATATTCTTTATGCATTCAAATGATCATATCATATGCGAAAAATGGTATCCTGACACAGGAGATATAGTTTTACGACTTTGACTTCCTCACTACCCTTCCCAACGACTAAGGACCGTCTCAAACTTACATAGAGACCGGGATGCCTGTAGCGGTATTAATTTAAGGTGCTCTTTATGCACAGGCACAACGGTGATTTTTTAATATTATCCTTCAGCACTGTTTCTTACTTTCAGAAAATAAGCATTGTATTATTTATGACCACTGCAACCTATAAGTGGCAAGTCCACTGCTAATCGTGACTGACGTCGATATATTGCTGCAGCCAAGACTGCTACGTGAGTTGAAAGTTGTGCTTGAAAGGACCAATCCGAACTGAGTTTTTTATAAATCGTAGACGTTGATGTTTGAACTGCAGTGGCTGTAAATTCGACATACCTGCAAGTATTTATTTATCGATACAAGGAAAATGAATTATGGTGATGTTGTGCTACTTGTTTTCTTTACAATCGTCACTAGCCCTACTATTTTGCCGTCTATAAAAGTCATGAATTTGTCTCCTGCAGTAGTGAATACTACGTTACAAACAAAAATTTTAATTAAAAGTTTAAGAGGATATTTAATAAATCTGATAGTAGAACTGGAAATCACTTGGTTGTAAGGTTACTAAATGCATTATTATTTTTCAAGGTGTGGCAAATTCCGAATGTGCGCTAATAAGAAAAAAAATTAATCTGTTATACAAAGTAAGAATGACAGCAGTAACTTTCGCATTCTTAGTATACCTTGCGTGGTTGTAGTGTTACTGAATGTGAACTTGTACGGCAACGACATAATGAAATATGTCTTATGCATTAATGCCTGACCCATCAACGATAGGAAAAATCGTTTAACACTCGTTCTTTGTCTAGCACATTGATTTTGTGCCTTTCTTTCTAGTTCGGGGTAAGCTGTTTCGACATTCCTTTTAAAAGTTTTACATTATCCAGTAATTTACTTGGTTGTTATGAATACCTGAAAAGTTTTTTATACTAAACTGTAATAATGGAGTGTTAATAATTTCTTGGGAAATTGGGAAACACCCGTTGGCTTTTAGAATATTTCATCAATACCAGTATGTACAATATACTTCAGTTCGTTTTTTTATTCTTAGGTGTGATTTTATGTATATAGTATATGTAACACAACTGACTAAGATTTGAAGCAGCCACCGAAACATTGCTCTCTTTTTGTTATATAATTTTTAAAATCCAGAGTGACAGAATGATCTTGTTTTTGAGATACCGCATATATTGATTAGTTAATAAGCAGTCAAATTAGTAGTAATCAAGTTTCGTAGGAGTTGCTTTCGCTGCACGCAGAGAAGAAGAATTAGTTGTGCTAGTTAAATTGCAATTTTTCCGTAGATAATTCTTCATGGAATAACTCAAGCGCAGCCATTTGTGCAGGTACAGGTGCAAAACGTTGCAGTAATGGATTTTCTAATTTATTCCCACGTTGCCTTAATAACAATGCTTAAGCTAATTGAAACAAATGAAATCTTATCACTAACACATTTTTTAATCCTCCTTTGTAGTCTCCCGATCTTGCCTAACAAAGTCATTTCGAATAACACACACAAATTACATTTGCCGACGCAGATTTCCCCGTCGGAAGGTAGGACGAGCCAAATTGGTTTTGACGCCATCTTAAAAGATCATATCAAACTCTTGGTGTAATATATCAACTTTCTGCTTCTACTCAAGGATAATACATATCCTGCTCCACTCTCTGTCGTAATTTCCCGAAGAAGTTACTCGTTGATTATGACTAAATCTCATCAGAATCCTTCTTGCACCTTATTTTGTTGCTGTTCGGTTATTTTCGTCGAAATTATTTGAGTCACATCCACGCGAGATAAATATTGATTCTGTTTGGAGCAGGAAACCTTCTTTATGAACAGACCGTTTAATTCGATTTCGCCAACTACATTGTGTGTTTGTTGCAGTTGAAACTACAAGAAGCTTTAAGGAAACGAGAGAAATTTACGAAAGAACACGAAGAGGTAAGTGGATAATTTAGTGAAGCAAGAAGCAATTATTCGACCGCTTTTCGGTAAATATATGGAGATCCTCTTTTTATTTGGCCAAGGCTCATAGGATCTATTGTAAACCGTGCTAAATTCACAAGTCGGCCATACATCTCAATGTAAAATGTGAATACAGGCCCGGAATTGAACCAGCATGCCAGACAAATTGAAATATTCCCCCGTGACAGATACGTATTTCCATGCAATCAGACGTTTCGGATGGGGAACTGACTGCAAGTCGTTTTATTCTTGTCAAATACGACATATGGCCATTCACATGTGGATTTGGATACTCGTCAGTAATTTGAAAAGATGTATCGGTTTATGGGCCGTGCTTTTATAGGCTTGTTTGCCGCTCTACTATAAAAAACTGCACGACGACAAAATTGATAGGGAGTCGATATGCTGATGGCCTCCTGCACTTAACCAAATCCCATATGCATCGACGGCCATTTGGCCGTTTTAATAAAATAACATTGCGATTCTAGATTCAATAAAATAACATTGCGATTCTAGATTCGCTCAATGCATAACCCGCTTTCTTTAGATATTGCATGCCAAAGTGTAGTATTGTCTTCGCTTAGATGTAGCACTACACTGCTTTAGAACATTGGAACTTTTCCCATTGAATCGAAGTTTCAGGAAACATATGCAAAGGTATCGGAGTCTTTATTGGAAACATCAGAATTAATAGATCTGGTTTCGAACTATGTGACCAATTTTACTAATTTTAAAAATTGAAAATGTTTAAGGTTCACATACAAGGTGTGCCATTTTAACTGTTAAAATTTGACTGTTAAGGTTATTACTAGTATTCATAAATATCACATAATTACTGAATTTTTGCTTGATATGAATATATGTGCAGTTGCGGCCTTCCAAAAGTACACGATAATTTTCTCTATTGTAAATTTGTCAAATTTGACATTTTGTTTATTCAAAAATGCTACGCCACTGCTAGTAGCCAAACTTACATTAATGTAAAAATTCAAAAAATTCTATGAAAACGAAAAATCGTGCACTTTTAGGGGGCCGCAACTGTATATTGCCCTATATATACTAAATCAGAGAACAATATTTCCTTACTGGGAAATTATTACTTTTTGTAAAAAAAATCAATTACTGACATTAAATACATTCTGATACAATTGGATTAGTTGCAAAATCTATACATTTTTATATATTTAAGTTGTTCCAAAACACGAAAAATATTAGGTACTGTGATCATTTATCTTATAGTTCTTAGGATGTCTAATTTGTTTTTATCAAACTTTTCTACATACATATTATGTATATCAAATTTTTCTCTATACCATTTAATCAAAAGAATTTCGTTGATAAATTACCATTTTTGAAACAAATATAGTTAAAAATATTTTCCTTTAAAACTGTCAAATTTCTTCAGTGTCCGCTATCGTTTACGAGAACATACATTTAAATACGGAAAACCCTGTGAACTTATTATTATTAACAAAATATGAGTTTATCGAGTAATTTACATAATGAACACGCAGTACCCTTTAACAAATAAAACAATAAGTTGCTTGATTTTTTTTTGAGACATGTGTACTCAATTTTAAAAACTGTCGATGAATTAATAATCAATATGTACTTTGCAACCTTCTGAGGTGACGTCATCAATATCCCGGACAAAACTAACCTTACTTCTTCCTTTAGATGTGTTTTGCCAAACTGCTACTAAATTCAAAGTGTTAAAATTTCAAATTTATGTTTTTTTATTCAGTCAGAATAATAAGGGGTGTTTTACAAAGATGATTTTTAAAATGACCAGCTTGTTATTTCAAATTTTTTGTTCGGTATGGTATATACACAGCCTTATAGAAATTTTGGTTAGTGATTAATCAAACGGATGATAACCTATATGGCCCAGTGGTTTCTGGGACATTTTGTAAAATTTCTGTACAATTTTGAAATATTTTTAAAAAATTACAGATGCAAGGCTACAAATATGGGTACGTTGATACACCATAAGTTTAGATAGATAATGTTTTGAGTAGCTGATTTTTAAAATTTTGCTATGGCAGTTTACATAAGCATACCATTTGTAACATCAAATTCTAAACATAAGAAAATTAGTTATCATTATTTATTGATGTGATTACCAACACTAATCACACCTAACCAAAACTCAATATGACAAGTCCACAAGCATAATTAAAATTACAAGTAAAGGTATGGTATCTAAGGAGTGTTTCACAAATTATGTCAGTGAAATAACATTAGTGCCCGAGATTCCGTGCTTTCAACTGTACTTTGGTATATATATCTCATTAATTATTAATTACATAAAAACTTGGTCTAAAGTCAGTCGCACAGGGCTTCCCTGGCACCTGAAGACAAATATTCAAACAAATTCAATGCAAAAATGTTGATGACATCATCACAAACTTTTGCAACGGAAAAACTCACTTAAAACATATACATAGCACCTTTAAACATTTGCTTTATCACTGCATACATATCTTTATTTTAAATTATAGGGGTTCTTATAAAAAAAAAATAAAATTCGGAAAAGCTAATTTTTCGAAAAAGCTGGGTATGTCTTACTGTACTTTAGGGAGGAGGAAATAATAATGAGAGAGAGAATTTTAATTACAGATAGAAAAATGTATTAAAATCTCGACCGCAGAACAGGTATTAATATGGAAACAAAAAGGGGATAAATCAAGAATGGAAAAATTCTGGAAAATTTGATTTCAAAACGAGTTTATCCTGACACAGTAGAACGGGTTAGCGTTTAAATAAAGAAAAGAAAAACGTGTGTCAAAGAAACAGTAGATGAAGTAAAATAAGAAAAAATCGATATTTAGTGTGAAAGAAATTGTTTACTTAGAACATCGAACTTTTAAAAACCTTGTATCTACATGTTGTTCTAAAACTAGAGGTTAAAATGAGCCTGTATTGTTGCACCCTAGACATGGATTATTTTAAGTTCAACATGGTGAGTCATCAGAATCTGACAACGGACTGTCAGTCAGTAGCGTAACATGCACACTTCAGAAGGGGGTGGTTTTTTAAAATTAATTTTTTCAAATCGCAAACAATAACACAAGGAATAACATAAACCGGCGCACTTTACTTTACATATAGTTTAATGAAATGTTTAAAATAGATTGTGAACAAAATTCAACATTAAATAAAACGGTTTATAAACAATTAATAATACATATATGTATAATTTACATATTCTTGGGAAAAAAAATTGAAAAAAGGTTTTTTTTTTCTCCTCACGAAAAATCGAAACGAAAAAATTGTCTGAAAACATATCACATAAGAAAAAGAGTACATAAAAAATAAAATAAAAGGCTTTCAAAATATGTAACAAAAAGACGTTAAAAAATGTCTGATAAAACAAACATAAGACAAAATTATCGATGAAAATAGCCTTCATGAAAGTTAAAAAAAATGTTAAAATAATAACTTAATAACACCCAGTTTAAAACTAATGCAAAATTCTAACCTTTAGGCTTCTTCTTCTGCTATAATTTACCGAATTCCCTCATCTTCATTTACGAACCCACTGCAACAAAACACACATGAAATTTTTGTGTAAACAAAGAAAAAGACCATAGAAGTTAACATCAACTTTATACGTAGTAATTTTTAATAACGGTGCAAAATACTACTCAGAAAAACTATTGAAATCACAATATAAATTCTAAGCAAAATTTTACGTTTACATCACGCGATTCTTGGTGAAGATGAACAGAAAAAAATCTAGATACCTAAAAGACTCAAAATACATAAAAAAAAGAGTTTCGGAGAATAATTGCGTAAAAATTCGGTAACAAACAGACGGAAACGGAAAATCGATATTTTGACTCCATAAACTGGAAAATGTTCAGAAAACAAGAAATGAATGTTTAATAAAAATAACCCTGCTACACTACGTTTGAAAATTCAGAACATCCAAAGTTAATTTAACTGAAACTTCAATAAACACTTCCCAATAAACTCAAACATTTCAATTAAAATGATTGTCTGAAACGTTTTGCTACTTCAGTGAACTTCTTTCAGTTGTAGTTAAGTATATCCCAAATACAAAAATGTTTTCGAAACAATTCTGGAATTAAAATTAACATTGATAAAAACTTATTATATATTCCAAATTTTTTCTTCCGAAAAGGCCAGTTTTAAAAAATACATATTTGACGAGATATTAACGTTTGAGTTCTTGTTCAAACAAACATATTTATTAAGTCGTTAAGAACGATTTGTACAATACAGCTACTTCTCCCTTAACATCCGTATTTTTATATGTATTAATTTAGAATAAAAGAACTGAAGAAATAAGGCATAAATACATTGACTAATAGACGATACATGAAGCCTAATAGCAACACTTACCCTTTCAATCCTGATTTCCTTTCCTTTCGCACCCATTCTTGCAGACTCCTTCCTCATGGGCACATCACTACACTCACCTTTCACTTTAAGCCCGAAATCAAATTATTTTTAACAAAAATAAACCACTTATACTAATTTACACACGCTCTCAACAAAGTCAAAACCGACTGAACTCCTCCACAACGCGTAACACGAGAAATGAACAAAAAAACTCTCGCCGATATCATTATCAGACGTTTTTTGCAGAGTTTTTATTCATCGATGTATCGCACAGCAACATTATTCCTTAGCAGAACATACTTTTCGCGCTGTGTGGCTGAAAAAGAAATTACGAATTTTACATACAATTCGCCAAAAACATAAATTAGAAAACTCGATCTAAATAGGTCTTTCGAAAATATTTTATTTTTCAACAGATAATGACACAACACAGAATTCAAATTTTCTCACACTTTCTGCCAAAATACTCATGTAAAATAGATTCACACAAGATGTTCCAACTGTCAAAAGGCGGAAAATTAAGCATTCGCTGTAGACTGTAGAAAAAATTGTTCAACACAAGTTAATAGAGCTATAATTTAAAAATATTTCAGACATATGGAGTGTTC